TAAGCCTTTTTTTAAAACATGCACGTTACTAGCTAGCTAGGTAGCTAGTTGTATACCTAGACAACAATTGGATTACAACCATGAATTGCATTTGCATGAATGAGCTATAACATGCAAAGGGGAAAAACTGGTATTGTGATGTGAAAGAAACCACAGTCAAATGGATACCATGGAAATTATTAACTGCCATACTTACAAGTTTTATCATTTCTTATATGACTTAATCGTCGAAGAACAAATAGTTAACACTAACTTCTCGCGTCTGTGTTTTCTTCTTACATGTCACGCTCTACTCTGTAAAGTGCATGTCGGGAGATGAAATCGAATAGCATTCCTTGAAATCTTTCTTTGTTATTTCAGTAGAGAATCGTCATAAAAGAAACGCAACCAAGAATTCTCAAACCATCTAAATGAGTTTGTTTTCGAATGTTCAGTCCACCAGATAGCAAATTTAAAACGTAATATTAATCAAAGTCCATCAATAATGTGTGACCTAATCAACGAGTACGTCTTATATGCATGAGATCAACATGATAACCTATTCATACTATCACCATTGCCATATATATATGACATGATCCAAGTGTAATATCATCATCTCTTAATTAATCTTCATTTGTCTCTTTAGTTGATTGGGTTGCTATAGCTAGACATTGACTTTATGAGCACGTCGACATAGTATGAAACTATGAGCATATCTCCTTCCCCTTTAGCCGATAAAACACTTGGTAGTGGGAATACATATATATAGTGCATGCACACGATCTCGAGTAAATATAGATATAGAGTTGAAGGCATATATAGTGCGGGGGAATGTTCGATTTTGGTCAGATTTTGCAGCACCTTCAGACCGTAGTGGGTGATCATATCACTTGCTGGATGGATCAGAATTCAGAGCTCGAAGAAATCAATGGAGGCCATGGAAATCTTGGACACGTGTCTCGATCCTTCTGCTTCATTTTTGCCTACTCATAACAAATGCACTTACCATGAGTGGAGTGCCATGTTGTCGTGCTCAAGCAAACTATGGGGAACAATCCAGACACGTAACAACTACACTATTGCACTTCACCTCACTTGGGATTTAGATGAGTTTCCACGAACCATAATTGGTAAGATGATCATTGAGGTGGTCGATGGTAAGTATGAATTAATTAACTATGATACGATATGATGTTATAAACCAGCTAGTCTGAATAATTCGAATTGTTGGAACTTGGAAGATTTAATTATGAATTTTATATTATTTACTAATTATAGTTGGTCTCTATCAAATCAAGTCTGATACTGCATGTAAAAGATTAATTGGTTTCAATAATTCCAATTTTATTATAAGAAGTGATGTATAAATCTTGACCACTTTCTTATGCATGATCACTTAGCGCGATTGTGATAGATCCATGATCGGATTCGGAAGCCATAGCATAGGGAAAACAATAATTGTGGTTTTGTTGTTGTGGAAGAATGGGGGTTGATTGCCTTGGAACAAGCCATGGACTTAGAAATGTTCTAGGAAAATTGCAAACTTCTTGCCTTGGATTTATGAAACTTGTAAAAGTGAAATTTAAACGTGTTGTATATATATTACAACATGGTAGACAAAAATATAATTCGTGTGCTTGTTGGATTTGATAAAAAAAAAGAAGGTTTTGAGTTTTAAAACTTTTGAATTTATGATGGATTTGTTACATTATAGATTTGGAAGAGTACATTGTTTGTTTAGTTACTTTTTATCATGGATTTATGATGAATTTGTCAAACAACTTTGCCTTCCATTATCAAATCCCCAAATGAAATGTATGATTTGCAAATCTGGTAACGGGCTTGGATCTAAAAAAAAGGTCCAAATCCGTGACCCCAGCGGATTTGTGTCCTTTAACAAACAATGGATTTTGTGCCAAATCCTTGATACTTGAGATTTGGATACAAAATCCATCACCCAATTCCCACAAGCAAACGATACCTGAATTATATCTTTGAAGATATGGTAGTTTTGAAGGATCTTTTTGCAATTATGGGATTAAGATCTTAATTGGCACCCTAACGAATCACATAGTAAACCTACATTGCTCCTCTTATATTTCCAAGTTTGGGAGGATATGTAACTTATTTGGGCTTATGTATTATCCATTTTCTAAAACATATAAATTAGCATCGTGAGTAATTCATTGGATGCTATTGAGAAAATTAGCTAAATATATGATAATGCAATTGGAGAAGGGAATTGAGCATGCTAGGTTTACTAATTTATCTAGGTATGATTGTTGGTGGGTAGATTTATTTTGCTAATTAAACTTGGGATAGGATTGAACTTGAATCCTTATTTTCAGTTTTAGTTGTCCTTTTCTTTGGATTAGTTTCGACAAAAGCTGCGATAAACGTTTTTCTTTTTTGGGATTATATCATTATATTTATTTATTAAAAATTCACAATATAAAATTGGATAGCACACCAATTAGTATCAACTTTGAGTACATAGTATTCATTTTGTATAAGGCATACATCTTGTAGTGACTATAGTGCCACATACATGGCAAGTTACACAACTATCAATGACCATGTAGACTTGAGATATGCTAAATAACACAACCTATGGCACATACCCACATGACCAAATTTATTTTGTAGACACTATCATACTTGATTACCAACTAAAACAAAATATCATCATACACTAGTTTCATTTTTTTCCCCCTTTTAGATTGGAGAAGATGTCGGTTCAAATATTTAGTTCTCATCGCCTTCTCCGGACCCCTCGCCCCTACCATACCCTTCTCCACGGCCCGATCCACGTCCACGGCCCGATCCACGTCCATCAGACTCGGCCCGTGAAGCGGCAGATGATCCAGCTTCAGAACCCGCGGACGATCTCCCGGACCCGGATCGCGATCCAGCATAAGATCCAGCTTCTGACCCTGCAGATGACCGGCCCGACCCAGAGCTCCTGCTAGAAGAGGACGAGGAAGAGCTCGAGCTCGAGCTGGACCCTCCACCACCACCTGAGCCCGAGCCCGAGCCCGCCCCAGCTCCAGACCCCGACCCACCACCTCCCAGGCCCAGGCCCACACCCGCCCCGACCCCGACCCCAATCCCGCCAAGATCCACGCCCAAGTCCTTCCTTTCATGGATTTCTCTTGTCTCGGTCACAACTGCCCACATGGCTAGAAGCAACGCGACAGAAACGGCCATGGACTTGGTTGCAGCCATTGTTATTCTGACAAAGTTTCTGACTCACTGGACTTCTTTGATTGACTTGGAATTGGCTGATGATTTTGCTAGATGGGAAGTGTATAAGTATGTTGTAGCTTTCAAGGTTTGGGGTGCTCATAAGAGGAAAGGGAACTTGTGCTATTTATAGACGTCACGACCTAGCAAGGTAGAGAAGGGGATGACACATACGTGTTTTCTGCAATAGTTGATGCCTAACCAAAACTTAGTGGCTTATAGGAATGGAGTTGGCTTTGAGGTGTGGACTTTGGAGGGCTATCGACACTTGTTCGAACGTTGGCCGATCCATTTTGCCCCCACTAACCTTAGTGGAATTGGTGTTGCGGTTGATCCTTAGGGACATTTGTACGAACTTATATATAGCTTCTGGTTTTTCTTCTATTCTTTTTTGTTGGTAAGGTGGATCATTGAGCATACACGTGGCCTTTTTTTTTGTTCAAATTCACACATGTTAGTACTTAATTACTAGGTATACCATTTGGTGAAATTCTAGCTCAGGGTTCAAAGTCTAATGATACCAAATCAATGCCGTATAATCTTATTTAGTCCCACTAATTGTCCATCAACCTGTTACCTGTTAAGTTGTCCATTATCTTTCAAGGGTAAAATCATAATTTACAAGTGTCTTATAAGAATACTCAATACATCAAATAACAACCGAATAATCTTTTCCTATGGATAGAGATCGAGCTATCATAGAGCTTCCCATATATCGGGAATCCGGTTGCTTATGGACTATCGAATTTGGTTATAATCAATCTCAATGACTAACCTCTCATCATTGATGGACACACAAAGATGTAAAAAACTAACAATAGAATAATCTCTTTCTATGGATAGAAATCGAACTATAATAGACTTCCCATGTATCGGAAGTCCGATTACTTATGGACTACTAGATTTGGTTAGAATCAACCTTATAAATTATAATGGAGTGCCTTGAAAAAAAATAAGACCAAGAGGCAGATGAAATATCCAGCAGGATTCATTAGACCAACAGGCTCAACAAATTTATAACTCAGTATTCCTCCTCCCTATTATTGCTAAAGGAACGGGCTGGACCAATAGGCCCATGGTGTTTGAGCATGGCTTGGGCCGAATGGAAAACAAAGCCTCGTTTAAATCATCGATGACTTTTTGATCTGACAAAATTCTTTTACTCGCTACGGTGGGAAGGAATAACTCCGACGAGGAATTTTTGGGCGATCTCCTCTCTCCGGGATCAAATTAGCCCGTCGGAAAGCGTCGTCGCCGGCCTCTGAAGCCACCTCCCTCTCTCTCCTACCCTCCAGCACTTCCTCGATAGCTGGTACCCTCTCTCTCTTCAACTCTCTCATGTATTCGCTTTCAGCTGAAGAGCTTCATGTTTTGCCCCCTTATCGTGTTAAATTGCTCGAAATATTGCTGCTTTAATCTTATGTTTGCTTCGTTCTGTTGAGAATCCAATTTAGGAATTTCAATTCTACTCTCTGGCGCTATTATCCTCTGGATTTATCCCAAGTCTGAAATGAAATTCTGAAATTTTTTCTGTCTTGCCGGAGTGGTTTAAAATTCCTCATTTTTTCTTGGTGGGTTTTGTCTGAATGGTTCCAAATTTGGTAAAGATTCCAACTTTTCCTAGCACACGGGCTTGTATTAAAATCTTGGATATCACATACCTTGTTTTGATGGTAATTTAGGGGTCTATAAACCCCAATGCTGATGCTGGAACAATTAAATAGTTCATTACCAGTTCCGAAAATGGTTTTCTGGGTGATTATATTAACCGAAAAGTTCACAGGATTCAAGCAGAATTGAGTGCATTTGCTGATTGTTTCCTTTCAACAGTGTGACTAAACAGGGTTTGGGTTGATTGTGCAAATTCAAGCCACAATGTGGGTCAGAAGCTAAGTTGTTTTTCATATTAATGGCTGGAGGAGGGCGTTACCCACCTAAGTTAGATGGGCGTTCGTCTCTTCAAGCTCCCGGGATGTTGAGGCACGGGTCATTACCAAATGGTGTACGGCTGTTGGATCCTTTGTCTCTTCCAGGGCGCTTGGAGAACAAAGTTGCGGCTCAGGCTGCTGAAATCGAGCAATTCACTAGTGATAATCAGAGATTTGTAGCAGGTAATCAAGCCTTGAGACAAGATCTGGTAGCTGTCCAAAACGAGGCACAGCAACTCAAGGCACACATTAGGAGCATCCAGACAGAGAGCGACATTCAGATCAGGGTCTTGGTGGACAAGATTGGGAAAAGGGAAGCACATATTAGGGCTGCTGAGAATGTGAAGGAAGACCTTACGCAGGCGCATCACGAGGCACAGAACTTGGTCAGGGATAGAAAGGAGCTAATTAGTAAAATTCGACAGGCCTCCCAGGAACTGCAAACTATTCGTGGAGACTTTAAGAGCTTGCCCGATTCAGAAGCTGAGCTCGACGATTTGAGGCAGGAGTATAAGAGACTAAGGTGAGAAGTTTCCCCCTTTTTCTCCATTTGAGTGAAGCTTTCTTTTCTGCTCATACTGTTCATTTGCTAATTCCTAATTGTATACATAGGTAAAGTGTGAGTGACAAAATCAGCACTGTAGATATATCCAGAGCTAATTGTTACGGTTTTGATTGCTTCAATTATTTTGAAGTTAAGCTTAGTATTTGGAAGAAAAATGATGTATACTTATCGGTCTTAAACATATCAATTTGGAGTCATAAGCCCCTGAGTAATTAACCTAATCTTGAATACCATAGCATAATGATATTACCATGATTGGGTGATACTTTGAACCTTATGCTGCAACTGATCTCTCTCTTCTTTTTTCCTGCTTAAATTGAAGGGACACATTTACTTACGAGAAAGGGTTCAACATGGCCAAAGTAGAGGAGCTGAAGTCGGCGGAGAAGAACCTGATTGAGATGGCAAGCGATGTGGAAAAGATATATGCTGAAATCTTGAACACTGAGAAGAGAGCCCGTAGTGGTGACTTGAAATTCAAAACTTGCTGTAGTATGCTCCATGTAGCTCCTTGTTATTTACTCTTTAGATGTCACCACCTTATCTTTTGGCATTGCAGCTGCTCCTTATGCTGCTAACTATGGAGTAGGTGGTGGTGCGTACGTCGATTCATATAGAAGACCTCTCGGGTCCACTGGTGACGGGATGATGAAGTCATATGGGAATAGCAATGGCATAGGTGCAAGTAGCGGCGCTGGCCACCATTAGGGATGTCAATCCAACCCGTAACCATGGGTACCCTACCCGACCGTAACCGGTCAACGAGTGTAATTACCCGCTTTGACGGGTTAAGGGGCGGGTACGAATAATACCCGGTTTCAAAATAAAGGGTAGGGTACGAGTATGGTAATCGATAATACCCGCCCCGTTATACCCGCCCCGCTAACCAAAGGGTCAATTTCCCTTGAGAAATTTATTTTAGCTTGAGAAATTGAGTTTAGCTACCATTATTGATGATGAATATGTAGATGATTATTATGTTTGTGTGGATTGTAGAAGCAAGAACAATTATTATGTGTTTGTTGTTTTTATTTGTGTGGATTGTTGAAGCTAGAATAGTTACAACTTACAAGTATTGAGAATTTTTAATGGGCAACAGTATATATGTGCATATATGTGTATAAGTTCATAGTTTAGAATTCGTACCCATGGTTACCCGAATACCCGTGGTTACCCGGTGGGTAGGGTATGGTTATATCATTTTCATACCCGGTGGTTATTTGGTCGGGTATTTTAGAAAACTCTACCCGGCGGGTTAGGAGTTGGTATAGGGTAAACCCGCACCCGACCCTACCCATTGCCATCCCTAGCCACCATGATCAATAGAGACCAATTTGTAAGTAGAAGATGGAAAACTGCACTTTCTGGAGAAAGGAATGAAGCAATGCTGTTTATTTAATTGGTGTGATGAGGGATTTGATAATGTGGGTGCTTCGAACCACTCTTTAATATTCTCTTTGATGTGCAGATAATAGATTAGGTGAATTTAGAATCTCCTGCTAGCTGATTAATCCGTGCAGAATGCATATCGGATCTCTCAAAATGTCATCAAGCAAGAACTGTTTACTGCCTGCAGCTTGTTGTAGGAAATGAAGAGAAGGTATGGTCTAACTTAAGACCATGTCCTTAAACTCGTGTATTGTACAAAGAGGAGAGAAAAGTAGAAAAAGTGTTCTTGTGCTGCTAATCATGGTTTCCGTTGTGGATATGTCTCAGTGGTAAAGGCACAAAGTTCAGCTGAGTTTATTCTTGTATCTTCTTCAGTCAGTTGAGTAAATCGCTTATAAGTGTAAGCGATTCGTGTCGAACACGCGAAACTTAACCTAGCAAGGCAAGTAAACATAGACAACGACGAAAGCATAACACAACTTGAACATCACTCGATTCGAGTTATACTAACACAAGGTCTGTAACCACATATCATGAGGATTGTTCTACCGAAACTGAGATATGGTCTAATCGTTTCTCTAATGCTAGAATCATTGTTTATATTGGGATTCATGTGAAGTTGTGCTGAAGAAAAGTCAGAGTTGAACAGCGGGAGTAGCAGCCATCACGCCATTGATTGGAAGTCAAAGCTCTCTAAAGCCATGTTTGTGGTTTAAGAAGCTTTCTCTTAAACTAATGCCATAGCCATCTCTCTCTCTCTCTCTGCTATCCCACTGAAACGGTCAAAATGCAGCAACCAAAAACCGAACCACAAACCCAACCGCACCGCGTGGCTTTAACTTGCATGGATTCCTTCGAGCACAGAGATCGGTTGGGGATTGCTTTGCTTTGCTTTGACCTCCCTGATTACGATGCGACGACCCACCCACTCCATTAAAAAAAAAGAAACAGAGCCTTTCTTTGTTTCTACTTGGCAAAAACAAAGCTTTCTTCGCTCGTGATAAAGCTCTGCCCCTTTTAATAAAAGGGTTAAATACCAAAAGGCTCTGCTCGTTGGTATTGGCCTGACAAGTTCAAATGCTCTGTTTTCTTTATTATATCGTTATTGAGATGACAACGATTTCTTTCATTGAAGATGATAGAGAGAGTTTCAGTCATTTCCCAATGAGGAAGTTGCTCTGTCTAGTTCAAATCACTCTGATTACTTGGTGTTTTTACATAGGTATCATCCACTCGATCTTCCTTGCAGCAGTATTGTATATTTTGACCAGGCAAATGCCCGTTTATCTTGGTGTAGACTCCAATGCGCCAACCTGCTTGCATAGAGCTAATCCAACTTGAAATTGATCATCTTGATAACTAACATACAACGAAATACATCCAACGATCAGATCACTTGGAGTATGAAATACTACATGAGTACATACACCAATCGTTACCATCTTATAACGACTGGTGTACTTCTGTAGCGTATATATCATACTCCAAGTGATCTGGACGTTGGATATAACCTTGTTGAACTTCGACAAATCAGAAGTGTCGATTATTATTATTTATTAGATTCGTCTTCGAGTTTCGGGATTAAAGAATCGATATCTCTGTGTTTCTATCCATTAGAAGATAGAGTATAGTATCGTACTCTGAATTCGATTTAACTCATAGTCTAAATGAGAATATCTCACTATAAGTATCCGAAGTATTGTATGAGTATAACCCGCTCAATAAGTGGTTGATTATTATTCGATTTGGGCATCTTAATAATACACATATTCCACAATGGGAAAGGTACTATAGGAGGTTGAAAACATGGTGTAAATAGAGTTTGCTACTTTGCTTAGCAGAAAATAAGCACACATTTAGGAAAGATTTGGCAAATAAGTTGGGTGGGGGTGGTGAGTCGTGTTTAAGTAGACCACGAAACGCGTTCTTCGTTCATTTCCCTTCTCTTCTTCTCACTCTTTTTACTAGCCGTTTAAGCTACCCAACAAAACCAACCGTTTTGGGGACCAAAATAAATGTATGGTAACAAAATAGCCCGATATGCCACCAATCTATGATATTTGTTCAACTTCATCCCTTTAAGGTCGCCTTCTTAATTCTTATTGCTTAAGTCCCTTGTAAATTAGGTAACACTAAGAACACTTCGACATGAGACTAGGCTGGAGATTTGTTGTATGAAAGAACAAATATTTGATAATTGTTTTATGTTTCAGTCAGAATCATATTGTTAAGATACGGTAATTGACTACTATATCGTGCTAGGGTCGAGATTCAAATATGACGATGCATTATTGAAGACAATATGTTTTGAGCTTTTATAGTGTCCTAGCTTATATACCTTTTGAGAAATTTGATTATTTTGCCCATAAAAGTTAAGAATATGACAACTTCGAAATCATCAGTCGCAACTAATTAGCTCAATATCATTTCGTTACCTACGTCACAAGTGTTTTTGATAAACACAACCTCAATATTCATAGTCTTATTAGCTACATGCCAATTGAAATAACTTATGGTTATGGACGATAACATAAAAAAACATCAGAAAATAATTGTTGCTCAATATCGTTTTGAGTGTAAAACTACTTCTATGTTTGTCGGCCCTGTTTACTTTCATTTCTGTTTCCTGTTTTTTAGAAAACAGATGTTGAAAACAGGTGAAAACGACATTTTTTCGTTTTTGAAAACAGTAGGAAGCTGCCACTTTCTATTTTCGGAGTTGGAAACGAATAGAAAATAGAATGAAAAGTAAACATGTTTTCTCGTTTTGTTTGCCAAATTTGTAACATGAAAACAGAAAACAGAAAACGAAAATGAAAGTGAACAGGAGGGTGCTAGTAGTGAAATCAGAAAGGACTCAAATGGACAAGGAAGAAAGTGCAAGGATGATAATGAAAATAAAGCATTAATTATGCACCAAATTAAATACGGGACATATTTGCCGCCACCATACGCGTCCCCCACCAGCGCGTGAGCCGGTAACCGTCTCCCTCACCGTTCACTTCTTTCCGTTCTTCGCCGTAACTTCCTTCTCTTCTCTTCTCCCTTCTTCTCTCTACTTCTCTCCATATATATAAACAAACTCCCCTCTGCAGATTTTCCCCACACCAATTCCTAACGGCAACCAAATACTCCCCAAAAAAGGGCAAGAAGTAAAGATCCCAAAAACCCCAACCGCCGCCGCCGCCGCCATGTTTCGCCTGAGCAACAACCTGATCGGAATCCTCAACTTCATAACCTTCCTCCTCTCAATCCCCATCATCTGGGCCGGCGTCTGGCTCCGCAACAACGGCAGCTCCGAGTGCGAGCGGTTCCTCGACACCCCCGTCATCGTCATCGGCGTCTTCCTCCTGCTCGTCTCCGTCGCCGGCCTCGTCGGCGCCTGCTGCAAGAACTCCTGCCTCCTATGGATCTACCTCGTCGTCATGTTCCTCCTCATCGTGCTGCTCTTCTGCTTCACCATCTTCGCCTTCGTCGTCACCAACAAGGGCGCCGGCCAGGTGCTGTCCGGCCGCGGGTACAAGGAGTATAAATTGGGGGATTACTCCAATTGGCTGCAGAAGAGAGTGACGAGCGGCAAGAACTGGAACAAGATCAGGAGCTGCTTGGTTGATGGGAAAGTCTGCTCCAAATTCAACGAGACTTACCTTTCCGACACCGTCGAGCAGTTCTACACCGAGCGATTGTCTGCTCTTCAGGTAAATTGACAAGGAAGACAAAAAGGCGATTCGCTTTCTGGGTTTTCTAATTCGGTTTGGTGGTTTTGCTTTTTCTGCCCCCTTTTTGTGAACCTTTTGGGTGCCGCTTTTGACTTTCTGTTGTGGATTGGGGGTTTTGGTTGCTTTTAGTTTAGGGAAAGGGATTGATGAACTGCGGATTTTTTTTTCCTCCAGAAACTTGAGGAATTGTTTCTTGTTGCAGAATTTAGGGTTCCTTGATGATATTGACTAGCAATTGGGATCAAATAGAGATTGAAAACTTGGTTGACTCTGAACAATAGGATAGTTAACCTTCTGAAGACTGGATCTTGGTCAATTTTCAGGGAATTTATCTCAAAGATGCTTCATTTTGCTATTGAAATCTTGTCTGTTTAGACTTTAGACTGAATCCAATAGAGAGAGACACTTGTAGAATTATAGAATTGCAATAGCTCACCATTTCTAAGGCATTTAGCTGAAGTTGCTCCATGCAAGTGCATATGGTAACTGTTCTCAGTTGCTCAAACTCTGCATTTAGGAATGTCTTCGATGAACTGGGTACTGATCAAAATTTTCATTATTTTTTTCTGCATGAAAATTCATCGAGTAGCTGTTGTTGGCTGTGTCTAAACATATGCAGTTTGAGGTATTCCACTGTTTGATGATCTGGACACTGATCAAAGTTTGTTTCTTTGTGTGTTCATCAGTCTGGATGCTGCAAGCCATCAGATGAATGCGGCTACACCTACGTGAACCCAACAACATGGACCAAGACCATCACAAACTCGTCAAACCCCGACTGTGCCGCCTGGGACAACCAGCCTGATGTGCTCTGCTTCAACTGCAACTCCTGCAAGGCCGGTCTTCTCGACAACCTCAAGCGCGACTGGAAGCGTGTGGCCATCGTCAACATCGTCTTCCTCATCTTCCTCATCATCGTCTACTCCGTTGGTTGCTGTGCTTTCAGGAACAACAGGAGGGACAACTCTTACCCCGCCGGGTGGAAGGCTTGAGATCACATCACAAAACCCTCTGGCTGCTGGTTTTTCTGATGTAATGCTTAGTATGGAGATAGTAGTTTGTAGTTTTAGGCCGATCATGTTTTGGATTGTTGCTGCTACTTCCTTTTGTTTTGTGTATAGCATTTTGATGTGCTCGACTTCCATGGCTGCTCTAGAGCATATTATTGGGCTGTATATGTTCCCAATTCCCATCCTGGATAGTTCTTTGTGCTATGAATAGATATTCATTCCCATCTCTTTCCATTTTCTTCACTCTTATCATCAACTTGTCAGGTCTTATCTATCTCTTCAATGGCTTTCAACTTCTTCTACCAACTTATGGACCCATATGTTTTAATCATTTGTCCCTCTTCTTTTCATGAAAGGTATAGAATTTGAATGTTTTAACGGGTAGTTGAAAACCAGGTGAGGAAAAGGTCACAAGGCTTGGAATAACAATAGTGTCCAAGAAGAAGTATGTGGTGTGGCCATGGAGACACAAAGTAGACTTGAAGGAGTTGTTCACCAAAAAGAGGAGAAGACTTCTAAATTTTAGAACTGATGTATATAAGAAGAATTTGATCAATTACAAAAATTGCCACTGACCTTCATATAATTAAGAAAAATCCATTGCCCATTCCTATGGACTTAAACCAAGTTTGAATTAATCAACGAAATAAATTGTTTGTCCGTTTTAATTTGTTTGAATTTTTTATTCTCACCATGTGTATTATCTCAATATTAAAAATAATCAAATATAGATGCATGTAAACCACTATCTTAGTTAATCTTAACTCAAGCAATAATCTTTCTAACAACCAAGTTGCAAAAATTCACTGTTATTAATTTTATATGCCCAATGAAGATATTCTTTAAACATAAATATTTTTTTATCTAGCTACACTTGAACAAAATGACAATTTGGATATCGTTGGTTCAATTTATAATGATTTTTTTCATGTTAATGCTTTGTGATGATTAACACTCCAAGTCACACTACTTATGGTGTTAATCCATATCCAAGTCATCATTAACCACATAGATGATCAATTTTTTTTTTTATAATAGCTCCTCAACATTTTCAAAAGCTAATTAAATAGGTGAATATGAGCCAGATAGATGGTGACATGGTCACGACACTACAAAGTGATAAAAGCCAAATTCGCCTTTCCTTTCATCCCCGGCCTTTACCCAAACATGTTGGTTGCTCTTTGATGTAACAATGACGTGAAAAAGAGAGTTTTGATGTAACAATGACGTGAAAATCGTTTGTGTTATGAAAAGGTCCTAGATATATACAACATTTATTAAAAGAGTAGTGGTGGTTTATTGTGTTATTTGTAAAACCAGTTTAATGATGTTGTCATCAAGTAAACTTTAGGGTTGCTGACTCCACAAAATGCGAATTTGTGATTAAGGGGTGCCATTAGAGGTGGGGCAGGTCCAACAATCCTCCATGCATAGCGAGAGAGGCATGCATCAAACCCTGAACATCTCATGAAGAGCAACAAAGCAAAAACTCGCGCTACTTAGGTTAGTCCTCGTTCGTCCATGCACTATGCAGTTTAAATTAATGGATCAATTCTCCACGATCCTTAACAAACATTTTTCTATAGGATCTCACATATTCTAGCTTTTAATATACAACCATGATTCGAAACATAATGTAATCATATCGAAAGTTAAATAATAGATGCTTAATCTAGTGATATCTACGCAATAGAAGTGATTCTATTTGAAGAAAATCTTAGTTCGGGTGGTGTTGGTATATGAAATATGAACTTATATCAAGATGCCAATTTGAATGGACTATTATACGATTTGTCCAACAACGTGTGACATATTAGCCTGGTGCATTATAACTGGTTTATTATTCATTGACGTATCAAAACCAAAGAACAACGTACATATTTATACGAAAACGTAGGAAAACCTAATAGCTAACCCTATCCCACTCTAACAAGGTAACTAATAACTTACTCAACAAGACATAATAAACTACTACGAATAACAATAATGACCCAACAATTGACTAATAATAATCTCTAATTACTAAGCCCTCGGCATCAAGGCCCGCGAGTGCTATAACGGGTGCTATAATGCACCATAGCCACTTTTTATTTTGTGTTGGTGTCGAATTTACATTGATTTATTGCACCGTGTCAATATTCCTAAATCGGCTGAGCTAATTGAAGCTTTAGATTTGCAGAACGTGTTTAGGGTTTGATTTTCAATGTGGCCGTGGGTACTTAGGGTTTTGTGTTGAGTCAAGGCCAGGCATTGCACGATCCACGGTTGATAAGCCCACCAGTCTAGCTTCTTTCTAGGCCCATAAACCCAATTCAACTTGACCCTCATCTCTACAGCGGGCTTGAATGGCGCCTGTGAGCAGGGTACGCATTGATCCAGTTCGTACCACACGTCCACACCAGATCAAAACGACTGTTTAATGAGAATTTTACAATGCTATACACTATTGGTGCTATGGTTTTTTGTTTTTATAATACAACTTAAAATTGTACATTTACGATATGGTATAACTTCATATTGTACCTATACTTTTTGTACAAAATGTTTTATGGTACAACTTGAACTTGATCCTTTATGTGATAGCACAATTTCAAGTTGTAAAGTTGTACCATAACATAATGGTACAAATTGTTTTATGATACAACCTAAACTTATACATTTAATGTTATGGTATAACTTTGAGTTGTACATTAAAGCACCAATGTTATATAGCATAGTAAAAGTGCTCCTGTTTAATAGTAAAAAAAAAAACTATGAGAATCAAGAAAATGACAGTCATTACATTCGGGTCGATTTAGTTCAGTTAAAATATATATCCAACCCATATTCTCTAAGTTATTTATAAACTTCATGGACAAACAATCGGATCATATTATATTCAATCGGATATGATCCAAGAGAGAGATAGCAACGACGGGCGGCAGAGGTGGTAGGGAAGACGATCTACAGCAGTCAGAGCCGGATCTACATCAAGGGAATCGACTTGTTGATTTCTGGGTTAAATTTATTCAGGTCAAATACGAGCAGGGGAATCGGCTTGGAGATTTTTTTAGAGAAAGAGAGGGCGAATCGGTAGGGAATAAGAATAATGAGATTTTTTTTTTAATTTTGGCTTAATAATATAATTGAATTTACAGTTTTTTTTTTAATTTTAACTCAATTTTTATTTAATTTGAATTAAAAATAAGGTCAGTGACGTGGCATCTATCTGACAGCCACATTCTTTGCCACGTCAACAAAAGTCAACTTCGCGTTGACCACCATTTGATCAACCGTTATCTTTAACGATCAACGAAATTGACAAGATACAAATAACAAAACGTATTATAGTTAAAGACATGAATAAACACAAATAACATTTTTACGATAATTTGCGTGTTGTAGTGGTATTAGTCCAAAAACATATTATCCAAACTCTCCCCCAAGATAGATACACCTTATCCATTCCAAGATGATCCAAAAGCCCAAACAATCTTCATGGTGGATCGCTCCCCGCCAGAGCCAACAAAGCAAGAAAAACTAATGCGAGACCATTACGGCCAATATTACCCGCCATTTCTTCTCCTCCTCCTTCTACAAACCGCTGAAACCCCCAACTGAAATTTTCTGAGGGAAGAAAAGTCACAATTCAATTCACCATGTACGAACTAAGGCCATTTCACCACCATCCCCGCCCTCCTCCTTCCCACCCAAACCCACAGAACTCCAAACTCAGAACCCATTCCCATGCTTCTGTTTCCTTATCCCAGGTTTCCACCACCCTCGAAGTCGCCCCCCATCCGCCATTGTTGCAGTCCTCAAGCTTCCAGCTGTCGGCCAGCACGACTGATGCCAGGAGCGTCGTTCCCATCAGAGCAAGGCATGCCCAGATGATAAAATCACCCAAAAACAGCGATTCCGAGCCAAAGGCCAGAGCTTTGGTCACTTCTTACTTGGAGCTCGGCGATCGTGGGTCGGCTGTTGTGGGGTTTCTGTTGGGTCTGGAGGGGAATTACACTTCATGGATTTCTTTCCTGGAAGAATTTGAGAGCTCGGGAGGCGATTTGAGGGAAATCCTTGAGGTTTTCCTTGACTTGAAATGTAGAGGCGGCGTGGGTTTTGGCAGCAGGGTTGTCACTTTGATCTTGAAGATTTGTGCTTCTGTGCATCATTCATGGATGGGTTTGGGAATTCATGCTGGTTTGATCAAGATGGGACTGGATTCAGATGTTTACATAAGCTGCGCCTTGCTAGGTTTTTATAGGTGGTGTTTTGGTGTGGGAATTGCCAACCAGGTGCTTAATGAATTGTCTGAACCAGATGACCGTTTGTGGAACCAGGCAATCATCATGAACTTGGAGGGTGGTGAGTTCAGTCAAGCTCTTGGGCTCTTTAGAGCAATGCAATTGGGCCCTTGGAAGACCAGTCCTCGTACAATTGTGAAGCTGTTGCAAGCATGCGGGAAAGAAGGAGCTCTGGATAAAGGGAAGCAGATTCACGGGTACGTTCTAAAACATGGATTGGAATCCAACTCTTTTGTATGTAACTCGCTGGTAACAATGTACTCTAGAAATCATAAGCTGGACCTGGCTACTAGAGCTTTTGATTGGATGGAAGATCCCAGCTCATCTTCCTGGAATTCGATTATTTCTAGTCACGCCTTGCATGGCCATTTGAGTGATGCGTGGAATCTTTTTCATGAGATGGAATTCTCCGGAACGAAACCAGACACCATAACTTGGAATTGCCTGTTGTCAGGGCATGCTCTTCATGGTTCATATGAGGAAATCCTTACCATTCTGCGACGCATGCAAACGGCTGGCTTTAGGCCAGGTTCCAGCTCCATTACCATCGTTCTTCAAGCTGTTATTGAGCTGGGCCTCCTGACTGCTGGTAAAGAAATCCATGGATATGTGATGAGAAATGAGCATGAGTTCGATGTTTATGTGGGAACTTCGTTGGTGGACATGTATGTAAAGAATGACTATATGTCCAGTGCACAGGCAGTTTTTGACAATATGAAGAACAAAAACATATTTGCTTGGAACGCACTGATATCAGGCTACTCGTTTCAAGGCCAGTTTCAGGATGCTGAAAGATTACTGGCTCAAATGGAGGAGGAAGGAGTTCAACCTGATTTAGTCACATGGAATGGACTGGTTGCTGGGTATTCCATGCATGGCAAGAATGACGAAGCTCTGGCTGTGATTGATGACATCAAAAGTTCAGGTTCAAACCCAAACGTGGTTACATGGACTTCTCTCATATCAGGTTCTTCTCAGCAAGGCAACTACAGGAAATCCTTGAAACATTTTATTCAAATGCAACGAGAAGGGATTCTGCCCAACTCTGCCACAATTTCCTGTTTGCTTCGATCTTTCGCAGGCCTCTCCCTTTTGCAGAATGGTAAAGAAGCTCACTGCTTCAGCATTAGAAATGGTTACACTGACGATGCCTTCATAGCTACAGCACTGATCGACATGTACAGTAAGTCAGGTGATATAAAGAGTGCATATGCAGTTTTCAGGAAGACCAAAAACAAAACCGTACCCTGCTGGAATTGCATGATGATGGGATTTGCAAACTATGGTCTTGGGACAGAAGTGATTTCGGTTTTCAATGAAATGCAAGGATCTGGTCTTCTTCCAGATGCCATATCCTTCACGGCTGTGCTCTCCGGTTGCAAGAACTCGGGTTTAGTCAGCGAGGGATGGAAGTACTTTGACAGCATGAGCAAAGCTTTTAGTATAGAGCCAACAACTGAGCATTACTCTTGCATGGTGGATCTTCTTGGAAGAGCTGGGTATCTTGATGAAGCTTGGGACTTTATCCAAACAATGCCATTGAAACCGGATGCCAGCATGTGGGGCGCTTTCCTCGGGTCATGCAGAATCCACAGGAACCTGGAGTATGCAGAAATTGCAGCCAAGCAGCTTTATGAGTTGGAGCCTCGTAATTCGGCTAATTATGTTGTGATGATGAGCTTATATGCCATGTCAAACAGGTGGGGAGACGTAGATCGTATAAAAGATGTCATGTACAACGAAGGACTGAAACCTGGACCTATATGGAGCTGGACACAGATTGATGACCGGGCTCATGTGTTCTACGCTGGAGGGAAACCCCATGAAGATGAAGGGGAGATTTACTTTGAGCTGTACCAATTGGTTTCTGAAATCAAGGAGCTTGGCTATGTAGCTGATATGGCGTGCGTCCATCAGCAGGTGGACGATGATGCTGAAGGGGAGAAGTTGCTTCTGAGTCACACTGAGAAACTGGCCATAACTTATGGACTGATGAAGAGGAGAAGCAGCAGCAGCGCGCCTATCCGAGTGATAAAAAACACAAGAACATGTTCCGACTGCCACACGGCTGCAAAGTTCATATCCATTGCGAGAGGCTGTGAGATTCTCCTCAAAGATGGCATACGTTTTCACCATTTCAAGGCAGGGAAGTGTTCTTGCAACGACTACTGGTAGTAGAACTCACTACTACTCTCTTTCTCCATGGTAGGAATATACATGGCCCAGATATATGGATCTCATGTTCTTCAATGATCATGTTGGCTCGAGTTCATAATCTTAACCATGATTCAGTGTCATCATGAGGTGAGCAGAATTATATAATAGTGCAGAAAGTGCAGATGCAAAAGAAAGACATGTATATGATGATGAAGACCACAATTTACATTCCAAGAGCACAGCAAAGGGCAACCAAAAACAAAAGCACATGGAGGAAAACAAAATTAAAGAGGAAGACTCAAAGCCAGCAGAAACAAGGAGGCAAAAGAGCACATCAAAACCGGCTACACAGATGGCTTGCATGTGAGAGACAATGGAAAGACCAACGATGACTGCTGTGCTGTCACTACACAAACCTACACTGATATGACTGTCCTTACTAGATTTGTTCTTGACATCACAACAACACGCGGAGTAGACGAGGATGAGGAAGACGAGGACGAGGATGTTGACGGCCTCAACTAGCTTCCACTCTCGTTTGAGGCTGTCGATGAGCGAGACCGGTCTTGCAGTCGTACCAGAGAAAGAGAGATCAAGGCCAAGGTCGTTGTCCGCGATAAAAGCATACAGAAAAGGGGCATTCGCCTCCCTCTACACTCTACAGGCTTTGGATGAATTTCAGACAAGAAGATTCAGCCCACGGTGAACCATCCATTGGCAGAAGCACAAAGAAAACATTCCTTGATCAGAACTAATTGGCTGTCTGTTTGGGTAATCAGAGAGGCCACATTCCCGCCAGTTTTTGCTGCTGGAAGGTAAGGAAGAGTAATCCCTTTTCTACCCCTTCCTTGGTAAACAAGAAAATGAGTTTCCTTCGATTCGACGGATAGGCCCAAAACCGTATGTGCTAATGGGCTGGAACTAGAAGTGGCCCAATAAATTCTGCTATTACTATGTTATAGCTAGCTTGGCAAACATTTGGCACAAAAGACAAAACAATAAAGGAAAAGAGAGCGTAAGCCAATTCCATTACCCTCTTCTCCAACTCCAATAATTCAAACTCAACAAGGTGAGTTTTAGAATTATAGTTCATAGAGACCATCCATTACTTTCTTCATAACTATAGACTTGTACTCCTTGTTCTTCACTTCCCTCCTCTAGTCCTCTTACTAAACTATACGACTCCAATCCCTGTGCATGGTATGGTACGTATTGTTAACCAATAAATTGGTATTTTCAAAACATTACCGTAATGATGGTTCGATTGGAAAATTCACTTATTGGAGTCAAACTTTATAGGATGTTTATGTGTATAAAAACTATAGTTTAGGTACAAAATACCTCTGTTTTCAGAACCGGGCTGGATGCTGAACTGGAAAAGTTAATGGTTAACCGTTGATAGTGTTAGAGCCCATGAGGGCCTCGTACATATATATATTTTGTAGGCCTTAAGCCCATGCATCTCATGCATAGGGCCGACGTGATGTAGGCTAGGGCTAGGGTTACCTTCTCCCTTTTGTGCCCGAGATATATATATGTACATTGTATGGTGAAAGCGACAGTAACATAATAAGATCAGTAGCCGGAGAGTCTTCAAGCTCTCCTCACCCGTGGACTAGTCCTGATCATCAGGGATACCACGTAAATCAGTTGTTCCATTTACTTTCCGTTCAATATGTCTAACATGGTATCAGAGCCATCGTCCGGCGATTCTGATCGCCTCAGTATTCGTCTCGATTCAAAGAACTATGCTGTCTGGGAATTCCAATTCCGTATTTTCGTTGAAGGCAAGGGTCTATTGTCGATCCTTGATGGTACGTCGAAGAAGCCTATTGTTCCTCCTGCTACCGAGCAGGCTCTTGAACGCTGGACGCAGAATAATGCTCGCGTGAAGACGTGGATCCTGGGTTCTGTGGATCCCTCGATCCTCCTCGGGCTCCGCTTGTTTTCGACTGCTCACGAGATGTGGTCTCATCTCGCTGTGACCTACACTGTCCGCAATACCGCTAGACAGTTTGCTCTTGAAACTGAACTCGCCGCGCTGAAGCAAGGAGACCGTGACGTCTCTGCCTACTACAACGAATCAGTTCGTTTATGGACTGAAGAAGATCTTCTTCTCGCATCTCTCAGCCCCGCGCAGGTCACCGCCGATGTGCGCGCCGATCGCACTCGCTCTCGCCTGATGCGATTTCTTATGAAACTCCGTCCGGAGTTCGAATCTGTAAGGTCCTCTCTTATCAATCAAGAAAATATTCATTTTGATGGGGTCTTGGGTAGATTACTGCAGGAGGAGACACGTCTCCGAGCCCAAGAACAGATCGATGCTCGCCCGGTTGCTGGCGAGACCGTCTTCTCCGCGGAGCGCACCTCCGACTTCGATGCTTCAGCCTATGCAGCGCAGCGGGCACAGTTTCAGCGTCGCCCAACCTCCGAGCTTACCTGTATCTTCTGCGACGAGAAGGGTCATGTTCAAAAGCACTGCCGTAAGCGCAACTTCTGTGTGTACTGTAAACGCACAGGTCACATAATCAGTGACTGCCGCACCTTGAAGAATCGTACCATGTATGCAGCTGCTGGAAACCAAGGCGGTGCTGGCCGTCATGACTCTGCTCCTCCACCTCGGGTTACTTCATCTGGACCTCATGCGTTTGCTGTTCAATCCGCCAGTGCCCCTAGCTCGTCGTTGTCGGCTGACATTGTTGACAAAATGATCAATTCGGCCATTCAGAAATCTATTCATGCGGCGATCAACTCTGCCTTTGCAGCCCTTCAAGTCTCAGGTAAAGCTAAACCGTGGTTATTAGACTCTACTTGTTTCAATCACATGACTAGTGATTCCAATTCGTTGCATCAATTGAAACCGGTTAAGAACTTGCAGCTTCAAGTAGCCAATGGTTCTCATCTTCCTGTTGCTGGCGTGGGTTCCTTGGATAATGCTCATGTTCAGCTTAATAATGTTCTACATGTTCCTAAATTGTATCCTAATTTGGCTTCGGTAGGCCAGCTCACTGATGAGAACTGTTCGGTTTTGTTCGCACCGACTGGGTGCTTTGTGCAGGATCTGACGACGGGGAGGCTGATCGGAAGGGGGAATAAATGCGGTCGCACCTTTACTCTGGACAGGTTGTCGAGTCGAGAGTCTACTTCTGCTGTTCGGTCTATTGTTAGTCCTCAGGTGTCTAGTAATCTCGGTTTTCCTAGTGTCTCGCCTGTCATTTTGTCTGATGAGTCGGATAGTCCGTGGTTTTTATGGCATCGTCGGTTAGGCCATCCCAACTCTAATCGGTTACAGCTTATGTTTCAACAGAAGTTACTTGGTGAGAAACCTGTTTTTCCTTCCATTTCTCCATCGTGTTCTGGGTGTGTTGAGGCAAAGGCCAAGAGTATTTCATTCCCATCGAGTAAAACAGTGATTTCTGAACCATTCCATCTCATTCATACAGACCTTTGGGGACCTGCTCCTTTTACCTCTCGAAATGGCTATAAATACTTTGCCTTGTTCATCGATCATGCTACTCGGTATACTTGGGTTTACTTTCTTCACTTAAAATCCGAGCTATATGATGTTGCTGTTGAATTTCTCACCATGATTCGTACCCAGTTTGGAAGGAATGTCAAAATGCTGCGTTCAGATCCTGGAGGAGAGTTTAGCTCTAACCCATTACTTGCTTATTACAAATCCCATGGCATTCTATATCAAAAATCCTGCCCGGGTGTCTCGCAGCAGAATGGCGTTGTGGAACGAAAAAATCGCCATTCTGTTGAGCTTACTAGAGCTCTTTTACTTGCCTCCTCTGTCCCATCTCGGTTCTGGCCTGAAGCAGTGGCTACTGCTATTCGTCTTATCAATTACCAAGTAACACCCATTCTCAAAAATGTTAGTCCCTATTATGCTCTCCATTCTTCTCATCCTCCTTATGCGCGCCTTCGCGTATTTGGCTGTCTTTGTTTCGTTCTTCTTCCTCGTCGTGAGCGTGATAAACTATCTTCTAAAACGTCTCGTTGTGTGTTCCTGGGGTATAGTGACATTCACAAAGGATATTTATGTTATGATCCTTCAGCTGATCGTATTCGTATCTCGTGTCATGTTGTCTTTTTTGAAAATGTCATGTACTATGAGTCCTTGTCCAGTACCTCCGATCCTCCCTTGTTTTCGTCGACTCGGCTCCCTGTCTTTGAAGATGACGATGACCAGGATGAAGAACCCCCTCCCGAGACGCCTCCCGAGACACCTCCTGGTTCTCCCGCCTCGCCCGAGTCCTTCTCTAGCTCGTCGTCTGATTCCTCAATGGCGTCCCCTGACGTCGCGTCCTCCAGCTCGGCCGAGAGCTCCTCGCCACCTGCCGCTGTCCGACGGTCCACTCGGGCCAATTTTGGCAAGCCTCCTGATAGGCTTGGTGACTTTTATGCTTACAGTACCACTCCCATTACTATTCCTACCCGCTATTCACAGGCCAAGAATGATCCACGGTGGCAAGCTGCCATGGGTGAAGAGTTTTATGCACTTGACCAGAACCATACTTGGACCATTGTTGATCGTCCTCCTCCTCCCATTCCCGTGGTAGGTTGTCGATGGGTTTACACCGTGAAATATCATCCTGACGGCAGCTTGGAGAGGTTTCGGGCACGGTTGGTTGCGCAGGGATTCACACAGGAATACGACATCGACTTTGAAGAGACTTTCGCTCCAGTAGCTAAAATGCCCACTGTACGTACTCTTCTCGCTGTGGCTGCTGTTCGTAATTGGCCCTTGTTTCAGTTTGATATCAAGAATGCCTTCCTTCACGGTGACTTGAAGGAAGTTGTGTATATGGAGATTCCGCCTGGGCATCCTGATAGTTCTCCGGACAAGGTGTGCTTACTTCACCGTTCTCTATACGGTCTCAAACAGGCTCCCCGAGCCTGGTTTGAGAAATTTCAGCAGACTATTTTGGGTTTTGGGTTCAGCCAGAGTCGTAATGATCCGTCTCTATTCACTCGTACTACTCCTCGCGGCCGTGTTGTTCTTCTGATATACG